CTTGCCACTGCGTATCTGTGCGCGCCTGGTGTCCAGACCCATTTTTCGACTGGCCATGTACCGAGTCTTGTGTACTTGGCGCTGCTGACGGTCGGGACGCCTGCTTTTGCAAAAGTCGACGCTGCCGTGCAAAAGCTGCGGCGGTACTCCACGTTTACGTCCGAGTGCGCGGGCCTCGACACGGCGTCGTTGAGTACGATGCAAGCGCTCGTCATGGAAGAGTACATGCGGCAGCCGTGGTAACAGACGTATCGTAGAGAGGTTGCATACAAGATAGCGTAAATCTTGCATTACTGCTAAACGATTCATAGTCACCTTCATAGATTTATATCAACGTGTTCCGCGTTATCTTCCTTACAAAGAGTTCGCATACGTAGTGCTACGCCTGAATGCGTGGGAGTTGCCTTCATGTTGTTGAAATGCAGGTCGACGAGCAGAGGCCAACAAGACGTGTCAATGCAACTGGAGCGAAACGAAGCCTCCGCCCATCCGACATGACAGCGGCTTCTATTATGGTACTCTATCCACAACGGCGTCTGTCTATTCTTACGCGATGTCACGTCCACGACAAAAACAACCAGCGACCTTTCAGCGGCGAAGAGTTAATCCACCTCCCCCAAGCTTCTCGAGTACCAACGATGTGGCATCGCTCCTTCAAGACCCGTGATCCTGACAAGGCGATGTACCAGGATGCTGCGAACCTGATCGATGACGCTACCGCCAATGTGCGCACCAGTCGTCTCGAAGCTAGCACCGCGCCGCCACTTCGCATCCACGGCATCGACGGTGCCATCACGTGGCCGCTCTCGTCCGAGCACGCAGCAGCCCTCGCGACACTCGACGTTCCCAATGGCACCCTTCTCCCGACGTCTTTTGCTTTTGTTCAACCCACTGCATGGCGCAAAATCGTCCAGAACGAGCTGCATCAGGAGGCGGCGAATGCGATTACGGACGCCGACCTCGTTTTCTCGCACCTCGTTGTCGACGCCGTTGGCACCGGCGCCGCGCTCGTGCCGACAAACATGCCAGATGACGCCTTTGGCTTCATGGTTCTGCACTTGCCATCGGCCTACGATGGCGGTGAGATGGTATTTCGCTATGGCTACTCGATCGAGACATGGACACCCGACAAGGCCGATGTCGAAATCGCCGCAACCTTCCGCGACCTCGTCCCTACCTCGGCGCCAATCACAAGAGGAGTGCGCTTGGCGCTCGTCTTCCGTCTCGTCATGATCCACAACGACGATGACATTCCGGCACCATGCAACCAAACCGAGGCCGTCGCC